TTTGAAAACAAAACTCTTCTAAATCCTATTGCCTTTGCATCTGAAGGACTTTGAAGCCAACGAATTGGATAGTCAAACCTGTATATTCGGGATGAAATTTCTTCATCTGAAATTGTCCTACCAGCATTTGTAAAAGATATAGTCTAACGGTTTTGTATCTGCTACTTTTGTTCTTTGTTTTTCAACCTGAAGCATTTAATATATGTAAAATATATTGTTTTAAAATGGTATGCCATATAGCTTCTTGAATTTGTTAAGAAGTATTTGAACGTTTTTTCCATCTGTATCTCTAGTGTTTACATAAGCAATAGCCTGCCTTAGTAAAATATACTTGTAATTTCCTATAGTTTACGCCGGTATAAATAGAAAGAGTCTTGTTCTTCGCTATAGTAGTAAAACTCAAACGTATGCTTGCCATAGTCTGTAATTTCAATTGTTTCATCTTCTAGTTCGTCGACAAATTCGAATACAATATCTGCAAATTTGCCTTTGTTTTTATTGTTTTCAGAACGAGTGACCAACGTAAGTTTTCAGTCTATTGCGTTTCTTATACGGTTTATATGGTCTACAAAAGGTAAATTGTTAGGATTCAGTATAAAATGAGTTGCAATGACAACATGTTTAAGATAGTGTTTTCCACCCATCTTCATAACAGCATATCCGTCATTCCCCTCCCATTCGCTTAAAACTCTTTTTGTCTTTTTGTTTCTGACTTCAAATGACTCACAACAGTGAATTTCATATTTCTCATCTAACAAACAAGTTTCCCAACGGTCTTCTCCAACAAACTCGGCGTACATTTCAAATAAAATAAAAAAATGTCACTTTTTAAAAAATAAATTTTTACTTCATGCAATGTTTTATTTCTGTGCCGTCTTCAAGTATGCCCCAGTACTTACGCTTGGAGAGGACATGAACTTCAGAAAATACCTTATCTAGCTTAAAACAGCCCATCTTTCACCGACCATGCCCATTTCAATGAGTTTGTTGTACCCTTCTTCGTTCGTCATGAGTGCGTCAATGTTCTCATAGTAAACCACAACTTTGGATTTGACTTCGGAGAAGAATTTGTTGTAGTTGTCAAGGACTGCCTTTGCGAACTGAGGGTAAGACCAATGTTCGACAATAGGTTTTAATGTAGTTACTAAGCCACTTTGACCTTGAGTGAATTCGTACTTCAAAACAAAAGGAGAAAACCTTTCAACAAAATTGTCGACCTTCTCATAATGTTTACTCTTCATCTCTTGAGGTTTCTTAATGGAATATCCCCATGTCGAATTCATAAGCAATTTGAGTGTCATTGCAAGTTTGGGGTTTGAAGCTTTCCTAATATCATATAGTTGTTGTATGACTTTTCCAACTGTATAGTTCCTTCCCGGGAACTCACCATCTTCGTTTGGAATTCCAGTCGGAATATATTGGACAAACCTCATGTATGCAGCGTTAAGGTCGACATAGTATATCTTTTCATCTGAGTCGAACTTGTCGCAACCAATTGGTCCAGTTTGTGGAAATTCAAGTGAGTCTCTTATCTTCTGAGAAACTTCTCCTGTTATCTCATAAACATCGTCGAAGCAACCTGTTTCATATAAAACCTTCTGACCTAACTCCGATGCTCTCCAATACAATTTGACGTCAATTGGATGTCTCAATGGAAGTTTGTTTATAGCATCTTGAAGTTCTTGCAACCTCATTGGAAGTTCTTGTGGTTCAGGTTGGTATCCGAACAATCCAACTCCTTGTGGAATTGTGTACTTCTTTTGTACTAGAACTTTGTCTGGAACAACTTTTGGTCTTGCTAACAATGAAAAGTTTGTTTCGTCTTTTGGTACAAAAGTTTCTGTCAGCTTGTCATCTGGAATTGGTTCCAACAAACCTTTCTCGAAAAGAATGTTTACAGCTCTGACAATGTTGCACTTGCCTTTTCCGAACAATGGGTTTGTAAGACTTTCGTTCAACATGAAGTGGTTGTGGACAATTGCAATCTTCAACCATGGTAAATTGAACTCAACAACATAGTCGTCATGTGAAGAACCTTTAGCTGTAGGTATGTTGACTCGGATATTGACATTTGCCAACGGTGCAATTTTTGCCAATTGACCTCTGAGAATGTACCTTGTCTTCACACATGACTCAAGATACTTCATCTTCTCATCTGTAACAAGACCAGAGTTCCTGAGACATGTAAGAATGCAAGGTTCATTGACAATTGTTTCAATTGAATTGTAAATTCCATACCTTGTCAAGTCAATGTCAGACTTATTTATGAAGGGGAAGTATCCAGCATGTTGTCTGACTGCTTGAGGGTTAGGTTGGTACCATTCGAACTTGACACTTGCAATTCCTTCAATTGCATTCAAAATGTCTGAGTCGGAGTCAAACATTTGTTCTCTCTTTGTAGTCTTGAAAGCGTCAAGAAGTTTTGCAGCTGTTTGTTCATTGCCATTTGCATAGTAAATGTGACCATCCAAATCCGTTATGGTCAATCTGAGATTGTGTCCTTTCTTATTTCCGTCTTGAATTGCAGCAAGTACACCCATGAAGCCTTCTTTGTTCTTTCCTTCGTCAAAGTTTACTGTAAAGGTTCGACCAGATGTAATTTGACTTCTAACTTCACGATACTTCTCATATGCATATCTTGTTCTTTCCATGGGAGCATGACCATCCTCTGCACTACCTTTTTTCCTTCTCAAAGGATGCAATTGTTCGTCATGTTTCCAGTAGAATCTGGCAAAGCCGTCGTGTCCTTCAACTTGAGGTTCACTAACATCGAAAGGCATGTCCATAAGACGTTCTTCTTCTAACCTCTCTAGTCTGTTTGGATAATTTGCACGTGCTGTTTCCAAATCCATTTCGTAGCGAAGACCAGCCAGTTTGTCATAGACTTTTATGGGTCTTCCCTTCCTATTATTTATAAAATTCTTTCGAAACTCTCCAACCATATCTTTGCAACTCTGCTTTTATTCTAGCAGACTTTCTATCCATTCTATATGGGGGCATTTTTAATAAAAATAAAAAAATGTTTTTTTCTTTACTTAACATAACCACCTGCTGCCATAAGTCTTTGACGCCAACCCATACCAGCTAATGAAGGTTGACTTGGTTTAGTTTCCAAAACTAAACTTTGGTTTTGGTTTATCTTCAGTTTTTGGTTTTCTCTTCTTCTATCGGTTTTTCGTCACTTTTCGGTTCCTCTGATTTTCCCACCTGCAGGAACAGTTGTGTCGTCAACATCTTCATAAATATCATATGCCATTTGTTTTTGTTTTCCTTTCACTTTTTGTGTTTGTTGTTAAAGTTTAGAATATTTCGACTCTAAGTCAATGAGATGTTCTATAATGAACTGTTGGTCAGTGAAGTAAACTTTTCCATCTGTTGTCTCGAAAGCTCCTTCAGACTTCAATATTTTATTTGTGAGAGTCTGTTTCTTTTTTGAGATACTAGCCGTTCCATTTCTATGAAAAGTGACTTTATAGTTAGGGTTTGTATTTCCAGACCTGGCACTTTCTATTATTGAATTTTTCTCTTCATCTGTAAGTTCTTTGACAGGTTTTGACAATGGTTCTGAACTTTTTGTTTGTGGTGTCAAATCTACCGTTTCAACTTCTTCGGTCATTTCATCTCAGTAAAAATTTTAGTTTGGTTTGTTTTCAACTGGTTGTTTAGGTTTTTTAAGTCGGTCTAAAACTTCCTGAGGTATAGGAAAGACTTGACAAACACGTTGTGTAACTGCTGGAAGTCGACAAATCCATCTTGAACCCATTTGTCTCAATGCTGTATTGTTCATTTCATCTCAGTAAAAAACTTTACATTCCCCAAGTTTGAGGTGGTTGCGGTTGGTTATTGTTTACCCACTGTTGTGCATGGTTATATCCTCTGTTAAAGAATCTTTCACCTTGGTCATATAGTGTCCTGCTTGGTTATAGTAGTCATTTGCTTTGTTATAATAGTTTCCTGCTGTCTTCCTACATTGTCCATCCATCCTTGAACTTTTCCTCTTGTTTCAGGATTTGGAATAAGATTTGCTGCATCTCGTGCTACATCCCAACCTTTCTGTACAGTTTGTATAATAGGTTGTGCTTTCTCTTTAAGTATACCTAATGTACTCAAAATCTTCCTTCCAACTCCAAATACACCTCTGGCTATTTGTTCCCACTGCGGGCAAAAAATCTGGATGCAACTCCTGCTAATGCGCCAAATAAACCCATTTCTTATGGGTTAAAAAATGACGAATCCAAACAAGGACCCCTATGTTTCTAAGGCAACAAAAAAAGCACTCATGATATAAAAATCTTTAGTTCAACACCAAATGCTTGGTTTATGGATATCTTGGAAAACATTCCGAGGTATAGAGAAGATGGACCACATACTGGCTAATATTTGTCGGTCAAAACACAAGATACTGTGAAGCCATACCATTACAGTCCAAAAATATTTTAGATGTGGAAAACTGCTTTGACAATATTCGTTGACAAATACCATCCAACAAAACTGACATCTGACTGTGGAAAGTTCTTTCAAATCAGATGATGTAAAAAACTATCTGCGTTCAAAAAATGTAAACCAATATTTCATTGTCGACCAAAACCATTCTGCTCTTGGTGTCATTGACGGTTGTATAAAAAATGTTAAGAGACTTAAACCAACCACCAAGGTGGTGAAGCAAATGAAATGTCATATGACGACAAATATAGACACTTCTCCATGGCAAAGATGAGACAAGTTTTAAATATTTACAATAGCCGTAAACAAAAAGGTTTGGGAAACCACTCCCCCGAAGAAATGAAAAACAACCCTGACTTAGAGAAAGACTATATATTTAATAATTTAGTCAAAAGAGACAAACAAGAAAGAATGCCGGGCTTCAAACTTAAGAAAGGCGACAAAGTAAAAAAGAAATACCTAAACGCGACCCATATGAAAATACTATTGACTATGACAACAATGGGAACCCGACAGTACTCACATTCGTGTTCGTAAAATAGAAGAAAGTATACAAGAGAATATTATGAAGTTTTAGGCAAACATGGCAAAATGTACACACTGCAAGCAGAAGATAAAACTACTATTGCCAGACCTCGTTTCAAACTTGTCAAAGTTCAAGGTGGTATACTTTTCAAAGACAGTTCCTAACAAATATAAGACAACTCCTGACGAATATGCTAAAGAAGTTGAAAATGACGACTAAGCAATTCTATACCATGCGTAAACTGTCATGTAAGGTGGCATGTAGTCTTTACTTTGTCCCGTTGTTTGCGTATATCCCGAAACGCGATGTGTATGGTTTCCATCTCCCTGAGTGTCACCCCAGAAACAATTTATAGCAAACTGAACGTCGTCTTTAACATCATATCCTTTACCTTTTTTCATTGCCGACCAATCCCAAAATTTATGCTTATGCCAACTGCTTGAGATGTACTTAAAATCTAATGTAGTGACTATGTGCAGGTAAATTTTCACTGAAATCGTTTTACTCTCCACCTGTTTCCTTTGAAGAGTTTGCACAATACAAAAACCTGTCGACTATTTGAGTCCAAGTTCCAAAACCAAGTACTACTTCTGGTCTGGTAGAGTTCATTGACGTATAAATAGAGCCTATAGGATATAATGTTTGAAGTATTTCTGTCTTTAATGTTTGAAGCTCTGTTTTGTCTGCTTTCTTGTCATATAAATCTTGAGCAGTGAATTTAATATTATGTTCATCCTTCATGACATAAACATCTTTACATCTAATGTTTTTCATCGTCTTATGTCGTCATCCGATGTTAAACCTTGTGGAAAGTTAGGAGGTTTACAAATATATTGCATCCACCAGTTTCTTCAACCGTTCCTTCAATACTTTCTATAGCAACAGTTGTAAAACTTGTATGTGTATGGTTCTTGTCTGCTTTCTTCTCTAACTCATCGTTAACATAAGTTTTATCTGGCTTTAAGGTCTAAACATCCTGAAACCCATCCTGTATCGGCTTTAACTTTAAAAGTCTTCGATGTCCATTCATGGTACCAGTCAACCCTTTCTTTCATTTCGTTATCTTTTTCATCCACACATATTCCTTATTCGCTTTCTTCTCTAACTTACTAGCCACATATTCCTTATCTGCTTTCTTTTCAAGGCTAACGTTTAAGTCTGTTATTTCAGATATAGAATGTGTATGAGTCTTTTTAGAATATTCGTTTTCAGCTCTTGTCACTTCACTTGACATTTTATTGTCAACATATGTTTTGTCTGCTAGTTCAGGATGAGTATGTTCTTTTGTTGCATAAGCATTGTTAGCTCTTTCTTCTTCTTTTGCTATTGCATCGTCTACATATTCTTTGTCAGCTTTGTTGTCAACATCTGTTTTCAAAAGAAGTTCATTTATAGGTTTCTCGTTTAAAGTTCCTTTTTGTTGGATTTATACAGACAGTATTGTTCTTCTTGTCTTGAAATAGAAACTCATCTGTCATTGGGTTTAATGTCAGTTTTAAGTTTCCTTCTTTCAATGACTCAGATATCTTAGAATAGTTTGAAAAGTTTGTTGTGTTCTTATTTAGAGCTTGCATAATGAGTTGTCGGTTGTGTTGTATTTCTCTCATGGAAGCAATATCTTTCGACATTTTTATTCTAGATAAAATATGCTTCCAATAGAAAAAGAAAATTCAAGAGTTGCTAAACTAAACCATTAGATGAACTTTTTACTAATGTCGGTCAAAAGTTTGAGACAGAGACCGTAAAGCATGAAGGCTATCGTTTTGACTACCCATTAAGATGGCTAAGAGACCCATCTGTCACAAAAGCTATTGGCTTCGTAGAATGAAGTTTGTGTCTGTAGAAGATAAAAGTTTTCCATTTATTGTAAGGTTTCATATAGATTATATATCTGAAGGGAAACGAAAAATGTGGGAAGAAATTGAGCTAATACAAGTTGACCTTTCATCTTCTCTACAGACTGCGTTAAAAAATATAGAAGATAAAATAAATTCATGTTATGCAAAATATGCTGATGAATATGCAAATACCGAGAGCACACTTTATGTGAGAATTGTATATGACAAACAAAATTCACAAGTGTCATTTTCAAATCTACGAAGACAATCCAAAGAAAGACGAACAAATATATACAGAATTCACTGCAATGTCATGGTATTATTTGCAAAGAATGTTAAATCAGAAAGTCAAACTTCCTTTAGCAAATATTTACAGTCGATATGCAAGAGATGAACCATATTTATTTAAAGATGTTTTCGACCCAGCTGCTATTATTGTTCATGCTTCATTTTCTGGCGCTCAAAACTCTTTCTTATGCTTGGCAAATGACTTTTACGAAAAACCTACAAAGTTATATGAAACCGCCGAGTGAAGTATTTCAGACTTTCAAGTATGGTTTACTACAGATGGAAGAAAAAGAATAATTCCATTATACCATGCGTTTTACTTAGAACTTAGTTTCATATACAACTACTATCGAACGGTAAAAATATAATTTTTTAATACGGTTGAGGTGTTGGATTTGGTTGCCAACTAGACTGTGGTGCAGGTTCAGGCTGTTGTATAACAGGAGCTTGTTCTTCTGGTTCAGGGTCTTTAGGTATAATACCAAACAAACTGACCTACTCTTTTACCAATATTTTGACTCCGTTCCAAATTCCTCTTCCTACGGTTTTTATTCCATTCCATATACCTCTTCCAACATTTCGAAAGAAGTTTCCAATACTACTGAAGAAACCCATTTACTATATGTAAAAATCTAATGTCCGCCTAGTCTCTTACGTTTCCTGTTGAGTTCCATAGCATTCTTTAACTGGAGCTCATACATTCTGTTTCTCCTCTGGTAGAAAACATATTCTGGGTCAACTCCTGTGTTCGCGTCATCTGCATAAAGTTGTTTATACCCACTTCAGGGTTTGTATAAAACTCTTTCCATCTCATATTTGCATACCATGGTGGCAAACCTAACGCAGCGTCATTTGACATGGCAGTTTGCATTTGTACATCTGTTGGCACTTGACCATAGTTTGCCATTGCAGTTTGTATTCTAACTTCATTTGGAATATTCTCTGGGTTTGGTTGTCCAGGTTGCTGTGCATTCGCTAAGTTCTGTGCGTCCATTTAATATTAGATAAAAATATCTCTTACGAGTACATATACTGAACATTTGCAGGCATTGGTTCATCTTCATATTCTCTGTACTTTTCTGCCACGTCAAATAAATAAATGACACAATGGAAAAAACCTAAAACAAGTAGTCCGATTTCAAACCACATTTACTTACTAATAAAATTTCTTTGTTATGACACTTTCTCCAGTTTATAGGACCTCTCTCATATTCTATCTTGTCATATATAAACTCATAGTCATGTATGTCCTCTAACCATCTCATAACGGTTTCCAAACCACTTTTATCGGATGTAAAGTAAAAGCATGGATGGTTATGTAAAACGTCTAAAGTTTCTAAAGAGTCTCTCAAAGTCCAGTCTACTTGGTATTGAAAATCCCATGTGTTATAGAACGGCGGGTCCACTATAAAGAAAACATTTTCCTTGTCTTTATATTTTTCATACAAATCTGTCCAATGACATCTCACAAACTCTATACCCTCAATATATTTTTCTATGTCCTCTTTGAAAACATTTGTATAGTTTAAGATATAAAACTTTTGACATAAGTGTTTCAATGTCATGAACTCTTATAGAACCACTATATAATAGTCTAGCAGATATACTATCCCAGTCTATATATTCTGCTTTTTTCAAAACCTCTCTCACAATATTTTTCTTATCTAATGGTATACGTTCCATCTTACCTATAGGTATCTTTTCTTTTAACTCTTTCAATATTTTGTTTTGTCTGGTATATGTTTGAGACGGTCCATATAGTTGTCGAAGTCATTGCATATAATCTTTGAGTCTGGAATATTATATGGCACAAATGGGATATATAGAAACTTCCACCGAACAAATCTACAAATGTTAGACCATTCGGTAGTTTCTTAAGTTCTCTCAATATAATATCTTTACATCTACTCTTATTTCCAAAGAACGGTAACGGTGGTTTTGTAAAATTCATTTATATATAATAATAAAAATGTTTTTACCCCGAAAAGTGACAGAAAAGTGACAAAACATGAAAACATATATAATTTGTGAAAAGCGACACATTATATAATGTTTTCGACCCAGAAGAAGGCTTCTTCCCAGAAGCAATGGAGGAAGAAGAAGAGTCCTCCGAATTCACAACAGAAGACTAACAATTTTCCGAATAAAAACTTCATTTATACTAAACATCTTCGGGGCTAGAGGGCACGAAGTGCCTGGAAGCCCCACTTCCCTTTTTTTTTTTTTTTTTTCCACGTAAAGCCCGTTGCAATAAAAAAATCTTTACAATCGTGAGAAGCTCTCAAATTTTTATGAACATAAACACTGAGAAAAAATTGTGAAATCTATATTCAATAATTTTGGATAATGTAACTCCAAAATCATTTTTTGGGGATAATTTCTCAAACAATTTTTGTAAACTGCCGATAGATAAAGTTCAACAATTACCACTTATAGTGTTTCCTTTTCAAAAAATGAAAAAATTTAGTTTCCTAAGAAATTCAATATTGAATAAAACCGCTTTAGGGGCTATTTCTCCCTGATATTGTATTGCAATATACAACATAAACCTTTTGACCAAATTTTCAATGTGAATGTTTCAAAAAAACTCTTCATAAATTTTTTCATGATGAACTGTTTGTGTATCTATTAGTGAATCAATTTGTTCCATAAAAATTTTTTCAATTTTTCTGCAAATTTATTAATGAGTAATTTTTTGCATAGATATGTATGATTTAATTTCGAACAACCAGAGAAAAAGCGCTAGCACGCGTCTTGATCATCCGCCTTCAGCTCCAGCAACGAAAAGTCTAATTGGGAACTCTCTACCTAAATTACGAACAAATCCGAGAGTGGGACCACCAGGAGGGTCAACTTCAGCAAGAAACTCTCTACTTTTACCTTTTTCAGAAGTTACAGCTACAATTTCGAATAATAACGAAGAAGATTCAATGCCATTATCACCAGCAGCTACATCTCATCTCGTTGAAATTCTACAATACTGCAAAACAATTATAGATTTTAATAACCCACAAACTATGAATAGTAGATGCAAAAAAGCAGATTATTTAACTCGTTTATTTAATAGTGTTAATAATGTTCATGTTTTTAGAAATTTAACAGATGATATTAGAGCTGAAATCTTCGAAATGATAAAAATCAATCTAATTCGTGAAATACCACCTATTCCACTCACAATTATTTACGCAGATTCAAGAGTTCCTCTAAATACAAACAGCTGGCTTCATCTTTCGTTAATACATAGAATATTATTCTCATTTGTTTCTAATTCAGAAGTTTCTCAGCTACAAAATTTGTTGACAAAGGAATTTCTCACAAATTTTGTAGCTTTATTAGAAAGTCCTGATCCAAAAGAGACTGCTGCTGTAGAAACATTTGTATTATTAGTATTTGACTCAGTTTCTGGTTATAGACAAATTTTATTTCAAATAATTCTTCGCCAGATTCTTAAATACCAAGAAAACTTCGCTCTATACTCATGCGTTGCTCCATGCCTACGATTTTTACTCCATTTCCTTAAAGCCCAGCCTCTTCCTTTGAAACCTACATTTTTCCAGATGTATAAGACCATAATCTTCCCACTAATGTCATCCCAGCTCTCCTCAGAGTTCTTCTCGCCCTTTAACCAGCTCGCGGAGTTCTTTGTCCAGCAAGATCCGACAATTTCTACTTGGACATTGCAAGAAATGGTCAAGCACTGGCCGAAAACAGATACGAACAAGGAGTGCTCGTTCATCAGCCATTTTACTTACATCGCGCCTTATATTCCTCCAAATGACATTTTGGAAAGTGGAAAAATCATATTTTCTATTCTGAAGCAGTCCTTGGAGTCCTTGAATTTTAAGACAAACGTGGCCGCTTTAAACGTTATTTCGAATAGAAATTTCATTATTGTTTTTTCTGCTTTTGCTTCTCAATTAATTCCACTTATAATGAACGGTGTGAACAAGTGCAGTCAGCACTGGAACGTTGCTGTCCAGAAATCTGCAATTGACGCTGTAAGAGTTTTAGTATCTGTTCTTTCTGACATCGAAAAGGGAATTGACCTGTCTCTGTTGGAGAAGGAGGCCCAGGAGAAGGAGACTGTCCTGATTAGTGGCTGGAATTTCGTTTTAGATGAGGCAAGTAAGAATGATTCGACACTTGATGTCGAAACTATCAAAGAGAATATAAGCAAGCTCATAGTATAATACAATTTGTATATAAATTTGTTTGATATATTAAATATTACTATTATGTAGATTATTTTAATCGAAAGGAAATTTTTTACATAACATAACTATTAAATTAAAGCAAAGAAATTTGTTTTATGTTGCTGATTGTCCAAATCAATAAATTTGAAAAATATATTTTATGAAATCTTTAATTTTTTCATTTCAAATATGAAAACGATTTAAAATATCAAAATTTTGCATATGTGATCTAATCAAATATCAAAATTGATTCAAATAAAATGAGATGGAATTGAAATTTACCAAAATATACATCAATATCACTAGGTTAGGTTATAGTTAGTCTTGTTTTTGTGGAAAAATATGAAATTAAAGTAAGAAAATGTTTTTTTAGTAAAAATTTTAACAACAAAAGATAAATGCGAATATTAAAATAGACGAAAATCTTTATGCATGACCTTTTTCTGTTATTTTTATCTTTACATTGGTTGGCAAGATGCTTGTTGACGGCCATATCTATCATCATCATCTTCGCGAGAGTCGTAAGCTTCTCTAGAGCGTCCACTGCTTGATCTCTTAGCGTTCTCGAAATCTTTCATTGAAGCATCCTTTAAGTTAACTGTGAATGTGTTTTCATCTGGTTTGAAGCCCTTTGTCTCATCTGGAGCTGGGAGGTACTTCATCAAAGCCTCACGAAGTGGAGATGTTAATGTTGCTGCCTTCGGGAACTCAACTTCGAAAGCGATGAAGAGACGACCACGTTCGTAAGCGTTTCCACGGCATGGCATACCTTCGCGTTCGATAACCTTGATTTGGCCTGGTGTGATGACTTCGTTGGTATTTGTTGAAACAACGAGTTTGTGGCCATCGAGATGTGTAATGATGAACTTTGTGCCAAGGAGAGCTTCTGTGAGTGTGATCTTCTTCTTGATGAGAAGGTCATCGTGCTTACGGATGAATGTATCATGCTTCTTCTCCTTAACTGTAACGATGAGGTCACCAGTATCGCAATCTGGAGCTTCATCAGCGTTACCTTGGAGAACAATGCGGTCGCCATCTTCCATACCACGTTCGACATGGACAACAACCTTCTTCTCTTCTTGAGAAACCTTAGATCCGTGGCAAGCCTTGCAGCGATCTGCAGCAGCAATCATTTGACCTTTACCATTGCATGTTGTGCATGTTGTGACCTGCTGTGTGATCACTGGGCCCATACGGACAACTTGAACTCTCTGGCCTCTGCCTTGGCAGTCCTTGCAAGTTGTTGAGGACTTTCCTTCAAGGCAGCCTGTGCCATGGCACTTAGGGCAGATGACCTGGCGATTGATCTTGAGTGTTGTTTCCTTTCCATTGTAAAGATCTTCAAGTGTGCACTTGATGTCGTATAAAACATCTTGTGTACGCTGGCGACGTTGCTGGCGACGACCACCACCAAAGCCGAAACCACCAAAGTCACCAAAGAGGTGGGAGAAAATATCTTCAGCATTTCCGCCCATACCTTCCTTGAGGCCGTCTGGACCATATCTATCATATGTTTCTCTCTTTTGTGGGTCCTTAAGGATTTCATAAGCTTCGTTAACGGCTTGGAATTTTTCTGTGGCTTGTGGATCATCGCGGTTCTTATCTGGGTGAAGTTCACGGGCTTTGATCATGAAAGCCTTCTTGAGCTCGCGCTCATTGGCATCGGGCTTGACACCAAGGAGATCGTATAGATGTGTATCAACAACCATTTAATGTGGTCGAATAAAAGTGCCCGATAAGTGGTCAGGCAATTTATAATTTCATTTTTCAATAGATAAATTTGGAAAATTTTTCCAGCAATTCCGAGAAAGCATTGGAGAATGTTGGAGATTAAAGTTCGAATTTTCTATCAAAAATAACGTTTATTTTTACAAATTTTTTTCTTTTTACAAAAATCGTCAATTGATATTAAAAATCCAGAATTTTTTTTGACATTGTGTTGGCATTTTTGGCTGATATACCCTAATTGTTTGCAGCATATTGATTAGATAAGACAAATCTTAGTCAATGCTGATATTATTTCACTTTCAAAACCCAAAATAACACAAAAATCTATTCAAATCTTCCGGAAGTACTGATTATAATTCCGTAATCACAGCGAATTATCGTTATTTAAATGATTTTTATATGATTCAGACCATGTTAACCCAAATTGCACTCTGTCTTTCAAATTATCAAGATTCACTAAAAATTAATTGATATCGCATCATATTTCTTCAATGTTTTGATGAATAATTATAAGATCAGACTGTTGTTTTGTAAGAGATAATTTTTATAAAATCTTTTTTCACAATATTAAAGAATCGCAATAGCTACAATACAAGATTCATACTATAGAGAGCTAAAGTAAACCATATTTTGCCCAATACGTAGCACAATGAAATTTTTCAAGTAAAAATATTTGGAAAAATGAAGCAACATATGATAAATCAATTAAATTTTTAATACGCAATCGAATATACGATTATAAGACACACTTAAAGTTTTTATAAAGAATTATGAAATATCGTTTATTTGCAATAGCAAAGGAATACTTATTCCAATGAGTATTACACGTATCATCAATGTGTACGGGCAAAGAACATCATAACATTTTACGAATAATTTTTTTGTCCCTATGATGATCCGAAAGAACCACCATAATCCTGTGATACAATAAGATGTTTTTATGTCATTATTCCATATCCAACGAAATTTCTCCGACCTAAGATCAAATCCTATTGACCACAAAAATTTTTTTTTCTCCGATGCAAAGAAAATTTTCAATTGAAATTGATATCTCCCCAAATTGATTCAGGATTCATACAGAAATCGTATTACATGCTTGCAACATTCGTTCTAGCAACATCTATGATACGAATGATCGGTTCTCAAGGGAGTAAAAACAAGAATTTCCGAAAAGTACAATTATTATATTATACAGCTTACTTTGCTATAATTATTCCTGATTCAATAGCAGCAGTTTATTTCAATAAGTTTTGGGCGCTGAGAGGATTCCAGAAACAAGTAATTAATAGTCTGAATTTAGTAATTCAATTCGCATCAATATTCAGTAGCATAGTTTGTGGTCCATCACTTGACAAACTCGGTAACACAGTTGTTATCTACTCTAGCATCATTGCAAAGTTATTTTCATTAATAATTTTTATATTTACTACTTCAGCTGACTTTGCTTTTATTGGTAGATTCCTCTGGGGAATATCCTTGATCTTTTCCAAGATCTCTTTTGATCATTGGTTAGTCGAATTAACAATGATTTACGAATTTTCTCCAATTGACCATAGTATCCTGATAGAACGAAGATCTTTGATTAACCTATTAATAGATATGACAATTACCAAAATCGTTGACTCGTCCGCTCAAAAATTAGGTGTATTGAATTTGATGAAATACATTTTATTCGCTGATTTTATGTTATTCGTGCCGCTCTACTTTGTTGTGAATTCTACCAATTCGAAATCAGCTCCAAAAGCTGAAGTTTCAAAAGAAATCCAAAAAGATTCACAAAAAATTGACGCAAGATCAATCGTAACAGCATTTGTTGATACAATATATTGCATGGCAACTAATCTATTCAAGCAGTTGCTATCAACAAACTTTATAAATCAGAATTTACCATTTTCTATGATTATGGCAACATATACTGTATCGTTAGCGATTGGAAACTCCGCAACTATGATTGTGTTGTCTTATTTGTCAAATACGACAATTTTATATATTATTTTAATTTTATTTGCCGTTGCCAGCACTTTTGGTTTCATATTTGCTGACAACGACTTCTTTGCTTTCCTCACCGTCATAGCTCTTGGCTTCTTGGATGGTTTAGCCGTTCCAATTATGGTTTCAGCAAGAAGTGAAGCGTTTCCTTCATCGTATCGCGGAAGATTCTTATCAGGAATAAGAGCTTCAGGTGCAATTCTGTCTGTCATCGTTACTTATATCATGAAATACACGACAGAATCTTCTTATTTGTTATTTAATGCGATCATGTTTGTATTATGTATTATATCTTATAGATACCAAGATAGAGTCTTTACGTTCTGCAAATATTTCTTCAAGATGTTCCAAAATACTCCGAAGAAATCAGATTAATTTTGTTTTTTTATTTTTATTTTGTTTTGATTTTATTTATAGAGTTAAAACTCAATATCTTTAATGCTTTACTTTTTATCAAAAAAAAAGCTGATATGAAAAGAAATGTAAATAAATTTCTTAAGAAATCCTACTTTCACTACACCTCTTTTTGACCTTGAATATTTTTGCATCCACACTATTATTCTCCGTTTTCAAATTTAGATAATTACCAATTACAGGGAGCAAATTCCACAGGTCATAGAGTTAGATGGTGTGTACTCTGTTTTATTAGTTTTCAAACTAACTAAAGATACTGTGGAAATGTAGTTTCGAGTTAAATTAAACATGATGAATATAATATTTAATAATATATTCAATAATATTATTAGATTAAGAAAAATAATATATTTGAATTAATATTTAATAATATATTCAATAGATGACACTTAGTGATATTTAGAGGAAGATTTTAAATATATATCAAATAACTCCGTGATATGTACTTAAATATCGTTATTTATTATTGGAAATTTGAAATTTATAGTGGAATTAAGCATATTAAAGTTTTCCAATATTAAAATATGCAACACATTAATGCATTTGAAGTATTGATAGTTTGGAAGAAGATTTTAAGGATAAAAGTGACAAACCGCGAGTTTCCAAAACCAGCTCCAGTCTGAATTCAATAAAGTCTCCGTTAATCAAAAGATATTTAAATTTATATACTCCTTTAGATGAAGAATGAAATTAAGATATGAATTTGAATTTATCGAGGCTCGACGTTGTGCCTCAAATCTATTATTTCTAAATCCAGGAAAATATAAGCTTGAAGCATGGGGAGCTCAGGGAGGTAATACATCAACTAAACAAGGAGGTTATGGTGCATATGTGTCTGGATTCATAAAATTATCATATAGGTCAAAAATCTTTGTATTAGTTGGGCAGGGCGGTTTTATCGCATCAAATCAATTAACGGAAAATTCGTGTGGTTTTGGAGGAAGAGGCTTCGATATATCAGCAAGCGGCGGCGGAATGACATATATTGCTCTTGATATTGATTCTCCCTCTAAAGCTTTGCTCATTGCTGCCGGCGGTGGGGGTGCATCACATAACGTTTATTGCAATGTATTAAACGAAGGTGGTCATGCAGGAATTCAAGCAGGAGGCAACGGAAAGAATGGTGTAGCATGTACAGAGTATAATAGAGTCACGGCTGGAGGCTTAGGAGCAACTCAAACATATCCAGGAACTAATCCCCAATATAGTGAATTAAATGGTGAAAAATTTTATGGAGGAAATCAAACAAAAATAAATGAATTTGGTTCTGGAGGTGGTGCTGGATATTATGGCGGAGCTGCTGGCATCAACTATGGTGCATCTGGTGGTAGTGGGTCTTCATGGGCTGCCGATTTGCTTACCAATAAAGTTTTGATACCAGGCAATGAATCAATGCCATCTCCATATTTTGAAGGAAATTTTAATTTGATTGGAAATAAAGGGCATGGTCATGCTAGAATTACATTAATAGGTAATCTAATTTCTTATAATTATTATGTCTTTCAATCACTATTGTCCAATTTCTTTTCGATTTATCTTGCTTCGATTTCATAAAAAATTTTTATCTGATTATTTCAAACACCTTTTTTTGGATACTACAATGAGAAAATATTCAATGGAAGTTCACTAATAGTGCAAGCATAGTTGTTTTATATATTCGGATATCTTGAACTTTTCTTCGAAACGTTATTCACTCGTAAACTTGTTGTAATAATGTCTATAATTGGGAGTAACTTTACATGTCAAAACGATAGAAAACTTTTTTTTCGAAATCCATTAATTTTCTATTAAAAATATATTAAGAAATGTATTTCAAAAATTATTGCGAATAGAATTCAAAAAATAACCTTTCGTAATTTCCATGTTTTCCAGAAATATCCGACCAATGGGCGTATTATTTATATTACTAATGTTTACTTTGAGATATAATAATTGAGAATGCTAAACAGGGAAATAATTGTTTTTTGAAAATACAAATATTATGGTTTTATTACAAACATCGCAAAATAGATGTATCAACAATAAAAAAATTACAGTACAGTCTATTGGTGACTACCAAGTAACGAACAGATCTATGAATTGAACGTTTCAATATGTCTATATCATAATGTATATCATGAACAATTGTATATATGTTAACTCAGTCACTTTCATCATGCTGATGTTTATGATACTTCCGTTTATGAACTTCACCGTCATTTGATTTTGTTTTATCTCTCTTTTTGTATTTACGCTTTTGCTGTTGAAATGGTTCTGAGTCATCTGTATCATCTGATTCGCTAATATCAAGATTTGTAAATATTTTTGGTTTCTTCTTAACTTGTTGCATTTCTAAATTTTCTTCTGATTTCGAAAATGATTTGGATCTCTTTTTCTGTGAATGAGTAAGCGTCTTATTAAGTCCAGCTTTTTCCCAATATATGGACTTGTAAGAAGGAAGAAGTTTTGACCATTCGGCCGCTATTCTTCTTGCAATTTCAATATAAGTGAGGCCCTCAATTGCTTCTCGATGCATATTACGCCATTCTATCGAAAAGACAGAGAAGGCGGATTGAACAGTATTTTGAGTAGATGACGTCGTTCTTGAAAAATGTTCCTCTCAATTTTTTACATTTTGAAATAAAAATAATCGTGCACTTTTCAATTTCACAACTCTGAAAGAAGGCATTGAAAGAAATTCTAGAGAGAAAATACCAGAATTGAAATCCATTATCCAAATGAAATTCATATATTCGTCAGAAATCGATGTTCTAACAAGAATTGCAATACAAAATCTATTGATTAGAGAATTTTCGTATATCCATTTATTTTTTGAAAATCAAATAACATATATTGGCAATTCATGCATTCCAGATAATTAAAGTCATACATTTTTAATCACCAAAATTTGAAATCAAATAGAAATCAGTATTTTATAATATCATTTTAAAATAAAATAGTATTTATATTGAACTCAAGTAAGGATGCCGGAACTGCCAAAAGCGCAAATTTTGTTCATCACGAATTGCCAAGCTTGGATGAGCGAAGTTTTGAAAAAAATTAGTAAATTTTGCATTATTTAAGTCTGAAAGAAGCAACAGAATGCTATATTTTAGTTTCTATATATTTTTGAAATAAAATGGTGGCATTATTAATGATTTTTAGAAATTTGATATTTGAAATTGAATCATTTAATATTTTTACCGAAGGATTTATGTTTTTTGTGATGTTGTGTATTATGTTATAGTGAAACTAGAGATACTCAATGTAAACACTTTTTAAAATAACGTATAATTGCCAAGGCAATTTTGGTTTTGGCAATTGTACGTTATTTTTTTCGCAGCGATTTGAGTGAATTGCCAAACCTTAAACTTTCTTGGCAATTGTACGTTATTGAGAATTGCCCAATTGCCATAAGCTTCAAGAAAGCTGAAACAATGACACTGAAACATATTTAACTACACGTAAAATCAAATCAGGCTCATTTATTAAAAATGCAAAATATTTATACTTATTGTTTCGTTTAGTCAACACGAATTTAAGCCTAATTCTTTCTCACGTCTGAGATGGCCTTCTTACATGAATTATTATGTAAATTTTTGATTATTTTGGAATAATATTAATCATTTGAACTGTTTTGTGGAGTTCTTTTGTGAATACGATACATTTGTTGAACTAATATTCAATTCTCAATAATATAATGCATTTCTGTTATTATATTTCCAATAATTTTTTAAAATATTTTTTTAACTGCTCACAAAATATAGCAGAGGACTCTCATCAAAATGAACAGAGAGTGAATTATTTTTCACAAAGAAATTAAAATACAAAAAAATTAAAAATAAAATGAAGAAAAGGGAGAAAAAAATAGGTTCTAAAACCAAATACATATAACTATGATATGTGTATTTTATTGGGCGAAATTGGCGTCCGAAGGGCGCCAATTTCGCCGGGAATTTTTTAAGAATTGCCAAAATGACCTCAGAATTGCCAAGTCTGCATCCTTAACTCAAGAGGACGGATGCTCAAATCCAGGGCAATTTGCAAAAAATTATTCTAGACCGTGCCCTAAATAATTTTTGAAGCTTGATTTGGATACTCAAATATTTCAATTGGCTTAATATGGCTAAAAACATATTCATTATAATTTGTTTGGTGACTTGAGCTCGGCATATTTTACCAACGATGTGTCACTTTTATATCAAAAATTTCCTTATTTAGATACCGCAAATGAGTAAATGTATGAAATAGAGCGTACGAAACTCGCATACATTTCGCAATAGTACTCTATATGTATGTGTAAATATGAAATTTGGGATGTTGGAGTCATCTCTCATAAAAAATTAATCACCTTTCCCTGCAATCATAATATTTGCATATGTATCAAAGATTAATGCGGAATTTTGACAGCACAATTTGGAGATTCAGAATTTTGAATTGTAAAGTGATGTTTTGACATCTGCAATCTTAGTATTATTATAATTTATTAACTCGGTATCAATATGATTTAAATTAATAGAGTTAAATTTAAATTGATTATTGCGAAAAAACACAAAGGAATAGAACTATCACTGTTCGTTAAGATACTTACTGACTGAATAGAAGAATCTAGATCTTTCAATCATTACTTTCATTTCTAGCATAGGAAGCGGAAAAAAAGAGAACAGTCACCCTAGGAAAAAAGAAGAAAGAGGTCACTTTTATTTCGTATTACTTTAATGGAACTTGCAATGTTCGTTAGTATAATTACTAACTAAATAGAAAAATCAAGATATTTCTATCATTTGCGATTTTTATATTTAAATTTCTATACCATTTTTAAGTTCAAGGGATTTTCATATGTAATAATGATGTCCCTGGTCTAAGAAGTCCATGATATAAGTAACAGCTATAGCCAACTATAAAAAAAAATTATATTTTTTTGAAAAAAAAATCTTAAAAGAAAAAAAAATAATATAAGATCATATTTAATAAAAAACAATAATTATATTAGACTAAAAGAAAAAGTCATCATCCTCATCGAAATTAAAGTAATTATCGAAGTAAGATAAATCTGCTGTAGGATCAGTTTGTCGTTGAATATCAGGCTGCTGAGTAGTTTGTTGGGGCATATACATCGGCATTTTTGCATTGTATTGTGTCTGATTCTGAAATTGGTTTTGATTATAGTTAATTTGTTGAGTTGGGCAGTCCTGGTGGTGTATTTGTGTTTGGTACGCGGGTTGCTGCTGATAATCTTGATAGGAACTCTGTTGTTGCCGCTGTTGGTGGAAATTGTAAGATTGCTGGTATTGGGCGGATTGCTGCTGGAGATATTGTGGGTATTGGGCGGATTGCTGCTGGGGGATATATTGCTGCTGTTGCTGGTATTGGTTCTGGTATTGACTCGGAAAATCTGGGGAAATGTTGTAGTCGAGAGTCTGCATATACTGTGAGCGGGAGTATTGTTGGGAGTAGTTTTGGCCGATTTGGCTTTCCGGGGGCCGCAGATTTTGCGAATTTTGGGTAAAAAAATCAGATGATTTGACTTCTGAAAAATTCTGTTGTGGTTGTTGATATGTGAATAAGCTGGATGACTGATTATCTGTAGCTGGTTGCTGTGGTTTGCTAAATGATGAAACATTCGGTTGAGGTGAGAACGAAATCGGACTTAGTGCTACTGATGGAGTTGGCTGTGCTGTAATTGTGGCTGTATTTGTCTCAGACCAACCGCCTTGAAGATTTAATCTCAAAAGCTCTTCAAAGTAGTGGAAATTTGCTGCAATAAAATACATTTTTCCTGGTGAACAACGTTTTAATGGTTTTGGAGGATCTAATTGTGCAATAACTGGTGCTGTGATGTTACCAAACAGTCTGGAGTTAAGTGAGCGCATATGCTCTAATCTATTATAGTAATGATTCAATAAAGCTGGTGTTATATTATTCGCTTTGGCATCAATTACACACCTACGTATGATTTTGCGCTTTTTAGAGTCTTCTAGCTTATTGGATTTCATTCCGGAAAAGTCGAAGCCCTCCAAAGCATAATCAACACCCTTCATTTGATTACAAAATTGTAGACAATTCAATTTTTTTGTGAACCTCATTTCCCGCAAAATTTTTTGATCCCGATAAATTTTATATGCGAGAATAACTAAGATATAAAATATACACGAGTTAGAATTTAATAATACTGTTTTTAAGGCTATTTAAAGCCACATTAAAAATTTGAAAAGATTTTTTGCCATAAATTTGCAATCTATTTGAATATTCGGGTTGATTATCAAAAATGAAGCAGATAATATGTTTAGTAAACACTGAACTCATTTTTCCTTGAATTTGTTTTTTGAAAATGATGATATTTTAGAATGATCTATCTATTTTTCGAAACACAATTTTATAGTTATATGAAATTATTTTAGCGAGAAGTTAATTGTAAGTTTTTGAACTGAAATCGAATAATTTTTCTTGCAAAATTCACTTTTATAAGCATATTCAAATGGAATATCTTGTATATGAGAATTTAGTATTATTTATTATATCACAAAACGAGTAAATCAATGAACATCTCATGAATGGTTGTTAATTCATATTATGTTCATAAGATGTTAAAAAAATAAATGCTTATCTTAATTAATTTAATCTGGGCAAAATGTTTGTGTGTCATAGGGGAGATAGTTAACAATTTGCTAGCGTTGCGAAACACAATTTTTTGAAAAGGAACTGTACAAATGTTGTGTTATGCTAAAATTTGCAAAGTGATGAATGGAATAGATGCCTTGAGATTCACTTCCGAATAGAAGTAATTTGACAGATGTAAAATTTCAATTCGTTATTTGGGAAAAATTTTGAGAAGTAATTATTTTTTGTATAGTTTACATCACTCTGAAACTTGGGAAAATTTCAGTCGAAGCATACATATTCCTCTAAAATAATATATATAGCTTACTAAAGTTATAAGTACAGCAAATACTCGTCTAATTCTGTAGATTTAGTTCGAAAAATCGAAAATATCAAAATAATTTTGATTATATTGATTTAAATCATTTGTTACTCGATGTTAAGATTTGATTACAAAAATAAAGAAATATCTCATGTCTGAGATTGAATACGCATATTAATAAAATTAAAATTCAATATTGCTTGAAATATCAAAAATGTAATGGATTCTGTTTATCCAGGATTACCAGTTCTCAATGCAAATGAATTTTCATTGTAATATCTAAAATTAACTCTCATATTCTTTAAAATAATAAATTAATTAGGGTCTATCGCCTTGGCAAGCCCTCAAAATTTCTGAAATTTCTAAATGTTTTTTGTTTTCTTACTTTTCTCAGAGACATATTGCAGAAACCTCACATATGAAGGTATAAAGATCAAATACGGACTTGACAGAAATGGTTATGCCTACTTTGGTTCGCGTTACAACCCGACCAACGCCACAAATTTGACTTTTGATGGCAAGTTGTTACTTCCAGAAGCCATTCGTATCAAAAATATGACATTCTCATTCAAGCTAATCTGTGAACGTGCCTTTGCAAACATTCCGATGAAATCAATTTTTTTACCTACAACATTAGAGTGGATAGCAGCATCAGCATTCGAGAATTGCACTAAACTAGAAGAAGTAGATGCATCTGAAACGAATATAAGTGTAATTGATGATAGAGTTTTTAGAAATTGCTCAAATCTAAAAATATTTAAATTTCCAAAAGTAATATCAGTCATAGGAGCTAGAGTATTCGAATATACGTTAATTCAAGATATCCAAAATATGAAATTTACAGGTATTGATGATTTTACATTTGCAAACAACCCAAATCTCAAGATTGCAGATCTCTCTTCATCATCAATCAAAATAATACCAACATCACTATTCGAAAATTGTACAAGTTTGTCCAAAATCTTTCTTCCAAAAAATTTATTTTGGATAAAAAGTTTTGCATTTGCTAATACGAATATAAGTGAAGTACTGATACCGCAAGAGTTAACTCTTATACACAAATACGTTTTTTCTTCATGTCATCGTATAGAAAAAGCAGATTTACGAAAATGTCCTGTAAAATGCGTCAGTGATGGACTTTTCCACAATTGTGTTAATCTAAAAGAAGTAATATTACCAGAAGTATGTTACTGGGTTGGTTCTCGAGCTTTTTTCAATACAAAAATAAAAAATGTTGAAATTCCAGTTGATTGTTACAGTATTGGCGAATATAGCTTTGCACAATGTCCGTACTTGGAATCCGTTGATATGTCGAACAGCGTGGTCGAAGAACTCTTAGAAGGAGCTTTTTTCAATAGTTCGAAATTATTTAAACTGAAAGTGTCGAAACAACTAAGTAGTTTAGGCGCTGATGTGTTCTATAATACAGATATTAAAGATCTAGGCGATCTGTTGAATATTTCCCACATAAATTCTTCAACTTTCCGGAATTCCAAAATTGAGACCCTAAATTTACAAAAATGTCCGATCAAACATATCCCTGATTACGCATTTTACCAGAACAAGTACATTCGAACGGTAAATTTGCCAAATACAACAATATCAATAGGGAAATATGTTTTTTCTGAGACATTAATAGATAATATCTCTCTTGCTGCTAGTATACTATCAATTGACGAAGGATCTTTCATGAATTGTCAAAAATTATATGAGATATATTTGACAATGCCGAATCTGACCTTGTTGATGCCATATATGTTTGCCAATTGCCAGAATCTTGTGGTTGTCCGTATTTCTAAACACCTTCATGCCTTGAAAAACGCTTGTTTCTTTAATTGTTCGAATTTAGAATGCGTTTATGGCTCTAGACGTCTTAGAATCATTGGACCATATTCATTCTACAATTGTACATCTCTTGTTGAAGTCAATTTCTCAAAAATTGCTGTTCATTACATTGATGAATCTGCATTTGAGAATTGCGTCAATTTAACAAAGTTTACAATGAATTTCCAGACAATAGGTACTGGTCCTAAGGCGTTTGCCAACACAAACCTCACTTCAATGGAATTTTTCCATTCAATTGGAACATTTTGCTTGGCAAACTGCAAAAATCTTGTTACAGTGGTCTTAAACCGCAGTACATTGACTGTACTGAATTCTGCGTTGTTCGACCAATGTATTTCTTTGAAAACTGTTTATTTACCGAAAATGATCACTTATATTGGTCCAACAGTGTTCAGAGGGTGCACGAATCTGCAGGAAATATATTATAAAGGTCAATGCCATATAAAATTCGCTGCTTTACCTGATTCAGCGAAAGTTTTTGTGACTTCGAAATATAATTCCACAAAATTTGGTAACAAGTCTGTTATTGTTATTTATAAAGAATAAATATTATGTTTTGTTTATTATTATGTAAATAGAATCTATTTTCATATTTGATATTCTTTATTTAAAGCCCAAACCAAAGACTTCATTTTTCAACTTAATATGTTATTGTCTTTTTATTTCATACAAAAACACTTGAATATACCTAATCCGAAAATTTAGTTAAAATATTCATTTTTGAACCAAATATTTACTATAATTTAGTCTACATTAAGAAGAAATGGATAACCATTGAGAATGATTATCAGTTAGAGCAACTATGCTAAATTTCATTTGTGATATTTCACCAAAATCTATTGTACTTTAGATTTCAGTAGAAAATGCATATCATAATGAAATTCAAAAAGATAAGAAAGAGTTTTTGTTTAATAATAAAAAATATAATAAAAATTCTTAGTTAAAATGATAGACTCTATATTTTATCTGTGGTCTTGTAACTTTCTAAGTACATCGAGGAAGAATTCGCGATCGCAGCCCTTGATAACAAGACATCCGTTTTCATCAGGAACTGCTGGTGACATTCCGATCTTTTCGCCATGCAAAACAATTGAAAGTCTTAATCTCTCTGACTTCGTAACAGCTTTGTCACCATAGCATGCAACAAAAGCAGCAAGTGGATCTGCCGGATAAAAAATACCTTTGCAAAAAGTAAGAGTAGCGTTCCATGTCTCTTTAACAAATCTACGTATTTCAGTTCCCTCTAAATAGCAAACATCAAATGTCTTTGGTTGCCATGAACATGTTACAGTGAGTGTCCATGAAATAATTGTAGTTCTGACTTGTGGGAATGATTCAAGAACTATATGTGCGGCTTCTGGATCTGCGCGCCAGTTGAACTCCGCATATGGAGACGTATTTCCTACTCCATCTTCGGCGCCACCCATAATGTATAAGTGCTTGATTTTAAGGAATGCTTCTTGATTCATTCTTAAGGCACATGCGATGTTTGTGAGTGGAGCAAGGCATAAAACGTTGAGATCTTCATATTTATTGCAGGCATCAATCAAAGCATTGACAGCATGCTCTTTCTCTAGCATTATTGGTGTGTCAATGCCATAAGATTTATCATCAATATCTCCAAGTCCATCTTTTCCATGAATCTCTGGAATTTCCATTGATGGCTGAATCAATGCTTTCGAGCAACCTGCATAAATCGGAATATCAGTCTTACCCCATACTTTGAGAGTTCTGTTTACGTTCCTTATAACATTTTGGAGAGATGCATTTCCACCAACGCAAGAAATCCCAATAATTTCTACATCAGGACAGTTAAGGCATATAAGAATAGCTGTGGCATCATCAACACCAGCGTCAGTATCAATCCAAATCTTCATAGAAAAATGTCACATTTTATTTCAAATTTTTTCAATTTCAATCTTGGAATATTTTATCATACATCATTTTTAGGTTCAAAATAATTATAAGAAATAAAGATGATTGGAATCCGCTGTCAATTTTTGATTTGAAGTTTCAATTGCCCAGTTGTAAACTTTAGCAAATATTTAAAATATTTTCTAAATCTGAAATGCTATTCTTTTAAAAAGAAGGTTCTGTCAAATCATCGATTATTTTTTTGTATAAAATTGAATTTTCAATTATATTTTGATGGGTTGATTATTTTATTTCCCAGCATACTTTAAGCATAATTAAAATGCAAACACATTTATTTATAAAGTTGACAATAGTTATTTTTATTTTAAAAAAATATAATTTTTAATTCGATGCTCCACAAACAATAACAAATTCATTTTTCATAATTAGATTGTTTGTAGATAGGCTTTCACTTCACCTTTCGCTGTTTTATCAGCTCCAATACTGATCAGATATTTGACAACTTCAAGCTGGCTACTCTCTGCTGCAATGATGAGTGCTGTTTTGCCATAACAATTTTTTGCTTCTTTATTTGCCCCAATGGAAATAAGATATTTAACCGCCTCAATGTTGCCATTTTCTGATGCAAATATAAGAGGAGTTTCGTCATTAGAGAGTTTAGCTTCTTTATTAGCTCCAATGGAAATGAGATACTGAGCAACATCAAAATGACTCATTTGAATCGCCAAAAAGAATGCCGTATATCCGCGTGAATTTCTAGCTTCTATATCTGGTTGAAATGTAGCAAGATATTTAACTGTGTCAAGATATCCATTATATGATGCATACATGAGTGGTGTCATATCATCGTTATTCTTTGCTTCTTTATTTGCCCCAATGGAAATAAGATATTTGGCAACATCAGTATGACCTTTAATTAAAGCGTTGAAAAGTGATGTTTTCCCATTTTCATCCTTAGCTTTCTTATTAGCACCAATTGTAATAAGATATTTAACAACTTCAAGTTGATTGTAAGTTGATGCGCAAATGAGTGGGGTGTTTTTATTGTCATCGAAACCATCACTTCCTTCTTTATCTGCCCCAACAGTAAAAAGATATTTAACTACTTCAATGTGCCCATAAGCAGATGCTAAACTGAGTGGAGTAAATTTAGATTTATCAAACGTGTTTTTGTCGCAACCGCATTCAATGAGTGATTTAACAAGTCTGAGATTTCCCCGCATGGATGCTACATGAAGGACATTTCGAGCAAATTTATTTTGTGTCTTACTAGTCAATCCTGCTTTGTATGCTTGAATCATCATATCTTGATTTCCATTTTCGGAAATTTTGTCAAGGAACTTGTAAATGTTTTCGAAGTTTTCACATAATTTGTATTGTGAAATTATTGAACTTAGATTTTCTGGATCAAAGGAGCGTGGATTTAGTGTATTTGGGGCTATTGCTCTCAGCAAAGAATCATGGAGAGGTTTGACAATGCTCAGGCAATTACCAGTATTAGTTAAATTTTGTATTTCGTCAATGATTTGTTTGCTACAAAACTCAAAGTGAATAAATTCAATCAATGGATGGAATATTTCGTTTTCTTTAGTTAATGAAATAATAAAACTTGCCAAAGAATTTTCATCTTTGACCGCAAGTTCTTTATTACTGAATATTCTAATTAAAATGTCAAGTCCAAGTTTTGTTGAAATTGATTTGAGTTGATCATCATTGATCCCGTAGAAATGTGATGAAATGTAATCAATACATGTTGATATATCGGTTTGTGATGAAATATCAAAATAGTATTCAAGTAATTCAATACAGTTACTTTTGTTAAGTTCCATTTCATCAATGACGTATTTTTTGTAAAGATTACATAATTTACGCATTTCGAGATTGAGTCCAATATGAAAAAGATCTTTCAATACTACTTTATCACATTCGATCTCTGTTTTACTGTATTGAAGAATATCTTTTAATACATTATATGTATCTTCCGATTTAACATCTGCATTTGAATCGACCATTTCAATGCTTTTATCTAAAAGATACTGTGAATATACCATTTTTGATGAGGCTACTGCGAAAGATTTATTTAGGGTAATTTCTACTTTGTTAACTGCAATTGTGAATTTATCGCATGTATTATAATTGTTAATTCTTTCTAGTGTTTCATTATCTAGTTTAATCAACACCATTATTGGAAAACTGAAAAATTGAAAACGCATTCAATTTTATTATATTAACCCTGTCTTATCAGTTTTGCCTGATTTTCATAATATTAAGTATTAGATAGAAATTTGATGTGAAAAATTTGATTACATGATGAATAATACTGTATTCAATAATTTCTATAATCACGTCTTATCAATTTTAATTGCTTAGATTGTTTCTATATCAATAAAGTAAACTCATTTAAAAAAAAAAAAAAAAAAAAAAAAAAAGGTAGTGGGGCTTCCAGGCACTTCGTGCCCTCTAGCCCTGAAGATGTTTAGTATAAATGAAGTTTTTATTCGGAGGGCTTCCCGAAGATGTTTAGTATAAATGAAGTTTTTATTCGGAAAATTGTTAGTCTTCTGGGTCGAAAACATTATATAATGTGTCGCTTTTCACAAATTATATATGTTTTCATGTTTTGTCACTTTTCTGTCACTTTTCAAGAAAAAACATTTTTATTATTATATATAAATGAATTTTACAAAACCACCGTTACCGTTCTTTGGAAATAAGAGTAGATGTAAAGATATTATATTGAGAGAACTTAAGAAACTACCGAATGGTCTAACATTTGTAGATTTGTTCGGTGGAAGTTTCTATATATCCCATTTGTGCCATATAATATTCCCAGACTCAAAGATTATATGCAATGACTTCGACAACTATATGGACCGTCTCAAACATATTCCAGACACTAACAAAATATTGAAAGAGTTAAAAGAAAAGATACCTATAGGTAAGATGGAACGTATACCATTAGATAACAAAAATATTGTGAGAGAGGTTTTGAAAAAAGCAGAATATATAGACTGGGATAGTATATCTGCTAGACTATTATATAGTGGTTCTATAAGAGTTCATGACATTGAAACACTTATGTCAAAAATTTTATATCTTAACTATACAAATGTTTTCAAAGAGGACATAGAAAAATATATTGAGGGTATAGAGTTTGTGAGATGTCATTGGACAGATTTGTATGAAAAATATAAAGACAAGGAAAATGTTTTCTTTATAGTGGACCCGCCGTTCTATAACACATGGGATTTTCAATACCAAGTAGACTGGACTTTGAGAGACTCTTTAGAAACTTTAGACGTTTTACATAACCATCCATGCTTTTACTTTACATCCGATAAAAGTGGTTTGGAAACCGTTATGAGATGGTTAGAGGACATACATGACTATGAGTTTATATATGACAAGATAGAATATGAGAGAGGTCCTATAAACTGGAGAAAGTGTCACAATAAAGAAATTTTATTAGTAAGTAAATGTGGTTTGAAATAGGACTACTTGTTTTAGGTTTTTTCCATTGTGTCATTTATTTATTTGACGTGGCAGAAAAGTACAGAGAATATGAAGATGAACCAATGCCTGCAAATGTTCAGTATATGTACTCGTAAGAGATATTTTTATCTAATATTAAATGGACGCACAGAACTTAGCGAATGCACAGCAACCTGGACAACCAAACCCAGAGAATATTCCAAATGAAGTTAGAATACAAACTGCAATGGCAAACTATGGTCAAGTGCCAACAGATGTACAAATGCAAACTGCCATGTCAAATGACGCTGCGTTAGGTTTGCCACCATGGTATGCAAATATGAGATGGAAAGAGTTTTATACAAACCCTGAAGTGGGATATAAACAACTTTATGCAGATGACGCGAACACAGGAGTTGACCCAGAATATGTTTTCTACCAGAGGAGAAACAGAATGTATGAGCTCCAGTTAAAGAATGCTATGGAACTCAACAGGAAACGTAAGAGACTAGGCGGACATTAGATTTTTACATATAGTAAAATGGGTTTCTTCAGTAGTATTGGAAACTTCTTCAGAAGAGTTGGAAGAGGTATATGGAATGGAATAAAAACCGTAGGAAAAGGAATTTGGAACGGAGTCAAAAATATTGGTAAAAGGGTAGGTCAGTTTGTTGGTATTATACCTAAAGACCCTGAACCAGAAGAACAAGCTCCTGTTATACAACAGCCTGAACCTGCACCACAGTCTAGTTGGCAACCAAATCCAACACCTCAACCGTATTAAAAAATTATATTTTTACCGTTCGATAGTAGTTGTATATGAAACTAAGTTCTAAGTAAAACGCATGGTATAATGGAATTATTCTTTTTCTTCCATCTGTAGTAAACCATACTTGAAAGTCTGAAATACTTCCACTCGGCGGTTCATATAACTTTGTAGGTTTTTCGTAAAAGTCATTTGCCAAGCATAAGAAAGAGTTTTGAGCGCCAGAAAATGAAGCATGAACAATAATAGCAGCTGGGTCGAAAACATCTTTAAATAAATATGGTTCATCTCTTGCATATCGACTGTAAATATTTGCTAAAGGAAGTTTGACTTTCTGATTTAACATTCTTTGCAAATAATACCATGACATTGCAGTGAATTCTGTATATATTTGTTCGTCTTTCTTTGGATTGTCTTCGTAGATTTGAAATGACACTTGTGAATTTTGTTTGTCATATACAATTCTCACATAAAGTGTGCTCTCGGTATTTGCATATTCATCAGCATATTTTGCATAACATGAATTTATTTTATCTTCTATATTTTTTAACGCAGTCTGTAGAGAAGATGAAAGGTCAACTTGTATTAGCTCAATTTCTTCCCACATTTTTCGTTTCCCTTCAGATATATAATCTATATGAAACTTTACAATAAATGGAAAACTTTTATCTTCTACAGACACAAACTTCATTCTACGAAAGCCAATAGCTTTTGTGACAGATGGGTCTCTTAGCCATCTTAATGGGTAGTCAAAACGATAGCCTTCATGCTTTACGGTCTCTGTCTCAAACTTTTGACCGACATTAGTAAAAAGTTCATCTAATGGTTTAGTTGTAGCAACTCTTGAATTTTCTTTTTCTATTGGAAGCATATTTTATCTAGAATAAAAATGTCGAAAGATATTGCTTCCATGAGAGAAATACAACACAACCGACAACTCATTATGCAAGCTCTAAATAAGAACACAACAAACTTTTCAAACTATTCTAAGATATCTGAGTCATTGAAAGAAGGAAACTTAAAACTGACAATAAACCCAATGACAGATGAGTTTCTGTTTCAAGACAATAAGAACCATACTGTCTGTATAAATCCAACAAAAGGAACTTTAAACGAGAAACCTATAAATGAACTTCTTTTGAAAACAGATGTTGACAACAAAGCTGACAAAGAATATGTAGACGATGCAATAGCAAAAGAAGAAAAAAGAGCTAACAATGCTTATGCAACAAAAGAACATACTCATCCTGAACTAGCAGACAAAACATATGTTGACAATAAAATGTCAAGTGAAGTGACGAGAGCTGAAAACGAATATTCTAAAAAGACTCATACACATTCTATATCTGAAATAACAGACTTACAAGAAACCTTAAACAGGAAAAGTGACGTTGGACATACACATACCATTGCAAATATTGCAAACTTACAAGAAACCTTAAACAGGAAAAGTGACGTTGGACATACACATACCATTGCAAATATTGCAAACTTACAAGAAACCTTAAACAGGAAAAGTGACGTTGGACATACACATACCATTGCAAATATTGCAAACTTACAAGAAACCTTAAACAGGAAAAGTGACGTTGGACATACACATTCTATATCTGAAATAACAGACTTAAACGTTAGCCTTGAAAAGAAAGCAGATAAAACATATGTCAATGAAATATACCAAAGTTTGATAGGAACAACTAAAAATATTGAAACTATTGTTGGTGACTTTTCTATCTATGAAGAAAACAAATATTTTAGATGGGAGTTTGTACAGTCCTTAAGAAATGGTATACGGTATAAACTCATTCCGAAAAATAACAATGAAATGTATGTAAGCTATATAAAGAATGATGGTACACAAGTTAAAGTTCCATTAGACAACAACTGCTACTTAAACTTATATGGAGACGAACAAAAGAAATATTTAAGAGTTTATGAAATGACAGATATGACATTGCCTGACCCAGCTCCAGCACCATATTATTATGACTATGGAGATGATGTCAGAACACCACATGTAGATGAACAAAAGCTAACATTATATTTAGATTATTATAGATATAAAAGATATAATGCAATAGAAAAAACGAGAATAGTATATTATTATATAGATGACAGAAATAAATATTATAGTCAAGATTTTACCTACCCTGAAAACATAAGATTATATTATAAAAAATATTCTGACACAAACCAGAAGAAACCAGAAATAGTTACACTATATTTTAAGTTCAAAAGAGACAATCCTATATTATCTCATATGTTTGATTTAATGAACCCAGTAGGTTCTATTTATACATCTATGGATGCAAGATGTCCTCAAGTAATGTTTGGTGTTGGTGCATGGGAACAAATAGTCGACAGGTTTTTGTATTGTGCAAACTCTTCAAAGGAAACAGGTGGAAGTAAAACGATTTCAGGTGAAAATTTACCTGCACACAGTCACTACATAGATTTAAGTACATCTCAAGCAGGTTGGCATAAGCATAGATATTGGGATTGGTCAGGAATGACAAAAGGTAAAGGATATGATGTTAAAGACGACGTTAAGTTTGCTATAAATTGTTACTGGAGTGACACTCAGGGAGAAGGAAACCATACACATCGCGTTTCGGGATATACGCAAACAACGGGACAAAGTAAAGACTACATGCCACCTTACATGACAGTTTACGCATGGTATAGAATTGCTTAGTCGTCATTTTCAACTTCTTTAGCATATTCGTCAGGAGTTGTCTTATATTTGTTAGGAACTGTCTTTGAAAGTATACCACCTTGAACCTTAACAAGTTTGAAACGAGGTCTGACAATAGTAGTTTTATCTTCTGCTTGCAGTCTGTACATTTTGCCATGTTTGCCTAAAACTTCATAATATTCTCTTGTATACTTTCTTCTATTTTTACGAACACGAACGTGAGTACCTGTCGAGTTCCCATTGGTGTCATA